ATTATTCTACCCACCCTAATGTGTATCACACTGCTATATGTTTATTATACAATTACGATACTATATATTACTTTGTACATTGTATTAAGCATATAAATGTTTTACTATTTGTTATTATACACTGTACCATTGACCGTCGTGTCAATGGGTGAGTCGTGGGGGAAAACTTGCAGCGGAGCAAAGAATCCATTCCCTTCGGAGAATACAATGCCAGTGAGTGGAACGCGGTCTGAAAGTCACCGTAAACGTGAACACAATCAGTTAAGATCCGAAATGGTTTATTACGTCCTTCCAATGATTGCTAAGCCAGAATCCATCTTCTCGGTTAAAATTGTCTCTGTGTTTGTATATGTGGATCGCCTCATGAACGAATCTCTCATGATAGCCAGATGGCTTGCAGAGAACCTCTGTCGTGGAAAAGTCAATGTCATGTGAGCCCACTGAGTTGTAACAGTGATCTGCCACGGCTGAGGTGTTTGTCCGACCGTGTTTCAGGTCTGCTTTATGTTCACGGATGCGGTCCGAGACATGTCGTTTGGTTTCCGCAATGTAACTGCTACCACAGAGGCAACTTAGTTTGTAGACGCCAGGGTACTGTATGTCTGGAACCACATCTTTTACAGACGGTACCAGATCACGGATTTTATGTACTGTGTTGAATCGGACCTGGATCTTGTGTTTAATCAGGATTTTGGAGATCTTTTTTGTGACCCCAGCAATGTAGGGTAAGGTGATGGTCTTGAAACGCTACTCAACAGGATCCTTCTTGATGGTTGGAGTGCCCTGTGAGCCATTCGGCTCTTAAATCGGGTGCAACCGCAACAAACAAAAAACAAAAACATGAACAAGAAAACATCTTAAAGTGAATATGTGACTAAGTGCAAACAGAAAATCCTAGAAAAGACAGCAACATATTGCAGAAAAAACACCGTACACCAACGCTGTGTGCAATAATCCCAGTGGGATGCAAGTCAAACAACAACAACAACAACCACAAGACAACTTAGATTAAGGCCATCAGTCTTACTCCGTACCACAACAAACAAACATGGCCAAACCAGTAAACTTTTCGAAATCACCAAAATAAAGCAATGAAACAGTGATCCTAGGAACTGTGACGGGATTTTCACAATAAACGACAAACAACATGTACAACTCCTCTAGAGCAGTTTTGAGCGAAGATCTCATAGGTAGTGACTCAAGTTGCAATTTATTAGCAATAGCATTCCAGACCCTGGGGGCATCAATAGCAAAGGCCCTTCCTCCAGTATTTGTGCCCCACCGCGTGCTCTGGGGTCCGGCTGGGTGGCGTCGACGTCGAGAACGCGTTTTCTCTCTTTTTGTTGTTGTTGTTGTCGTGTTCTCAAATCTTGTAACTACATTTTAACCCACTTCCCAATGTGGTATCGACTGCAAACTTTGTATGCTTATGTCATACTGATAACAATATTATATTCTATCATTAAAAATATATTTTAAAACATTCTTTACATGTTATGTTTCGGCTTGGGTCTAATTATCCACGCTCAACTGACGTTGGCTGTAAATCACCACGGCCCCCTTACGTGATGGCAAGCTTCGGGGCCACTTCCTGGAGTCGTGGAGTTCTGCCATGACTCGTAGGGTACATTTCATAAAAGCGTGTTTTAAATTTTTTTTTTATTTTACTTCTTTTTTTACTCTCGCACGCACGAGTTTCATAGCGGTGTTAAAGGCGAGCTGGGAAAACTGCCGATGGAGTATTAATGTTGAAAAAGATTGATTGCTGCATATTCATTTTGATGTTTTGTGAGCTTCCGAATCGATATTAATCAATGGATTCATAAAAAGAGTAATACATAGCATAGGTTATAAGCAGTGTGTAACATCGATATTAATCGATATTAATCCATTGATTAATATTTATTTGATTAATATTTAATATCGATGTGTAACATTCATCCATTGATTAATATCGATGTTACTGCTATTAACCGAGGCTTTTTTTTACGTATATTTGTTTTGGCAGAGTAACATTTCAACTAGCTGAATGGAATATCTAAACTAATGCGATTGTTGAATATCAACATTCATTGATTGTAGTTGACTCATAGCTGAATGGTGAATAAACTTTTGTTGCTGTTTGGGCTGAATGTAAGGCCTGAGAGTCACTCGCTGGGCTGGTGGTTGCCACGGGTGTGTGTCTTTTATGATAAGTTATTGCATTTTTCGCAGAGCGTAAACAAAACGACGCGTGTCGCCAGCAGGTGCTTGCCGGATCTACTGCTGCTCAGTTGTATTCAGCACACTCTCTCATAGAGTCAATGATGTTTGCTCACGGTTCACACGCAGTGCACTTTGGCCAGGTGTGGTTGGAATGCAGTGTACCGGAGGTAAGGATGGGTTGGATCACAAATATGCGGGCAGGGTACTTAACTACATCCGATGTAAAGGAATGGAGGTGACAATGAGCTATTATAGAATATAAGTTGCTGGCGTGTTTAGTTTCTAGTTTTCATGGTTGGCTCTCATTTTTTTGTTTTTCAAGCCAAAGTAGTTTCTCAAAATTGTATTTGAATTAAAGTGATTTTGCCCAAATATTCCAAGCAGGGCACTCGTAGAAATATTAACTTTTTTGAGGCGATGCCTGCTTTTAAGTCGAATGAAATGTAATAACACATTACAAATGAAAACTCTTTTGCTTTTTAATTAATAGAAAATAGATGCTTGAAGCTAGTAATTTGTTTTTAGTCTTGAACTTGCAATAGCTCTATGAGGTTATCACTCCAAGTCGCAGTGCACGACATTAACAAGGAATGCTTTCAGTTAACTTTATATTCATAAAAAAACATGACGTAACAAATCATGACGTTTAAAGCATTTATTTTATCCGAAGCAAAAATACAAGTGCTCTCGAGTTTTGAGTTACAGTATTACATCCGTAATAGAATGACAGTTATGATTAATCAAGAAAATTTACATCAAACCAAGCGACAATGAAAATTGAAAAAAACTATTTCAAGCCATTCAGCTAAAATTGTTACAAATTATAATTAAATACATAGTTTGGTTAACATGCTCAACATTTGTTGAAGATTAAATAGTTAGATAAACCTCAATTCTACAGTATAGTAAAGGTGGAGCCCTGCAATTGCGTGCTCACGTCACCGCTGGTGAAAGGGCTTCCACGACAGTGAGCTCTTGAGAGCCTCCATCGACGGTATTTGGCCTACTCTTCCACGCTGTCCGAGACTTTCGGAAGGTGGTGGGATTACCCTCGCTTTACCTCACCACATGTGACCTGCTGATCAAGTGGTGAGCCCATTGACACCGCTGGGGAGACAGAGGGGGGTGTTCCTGCCGCGCCGGCAGATCGAACTGGCGACCTCTAGATTTTGTATACAGTATATGAGCATTTTACTTGTGCTTAAGTATTGAGCCTTTGCCGTGTGACATTCAGGTGAACATTTAAATCACTCGGCATCACGTGAGAAAACATTGTTTTATGAGATGCATGATTCATTTTTTTTGCTAAAGTATACAATATGAATCGAAGGCAAAACTTAGAAGTTCAGTGTGCTCCTCTCAGGCATGAGTACGTACAATACAGTATATAGATGGCAACACAGATACCTACACATCTACGTAACCAATATGTTTTGTTTGCGTAAAATTAGCATTTACTTGCATATGTGATTAAAGGCATGGAATCCGTACTGTAGATCTAGCCTGATTATTTGGACGTACAATCTATGTCTCATTACACTACTGTACTGGCAATCAACCGGTGGAATACCGTACAGAACACACCAAATTGTTCGTGGTTTTGTGAGGGCCCGATATGGCAGATCCTAATATTCGCGGGGTTATCCGCGATATTACTCCTGTTATCCGCGAGGTAAAGAAAAGGTGCAGATAATTAATCGACGGATAATTGGAAGGAATAGGGCCATGGATGATTGGCCTTTCCCCAAAACCTACAGATCCCGCAGATAACAAAAGTCTTGGTTAACAGGGCAACGGATAAAGCAGAGCTCTGGATTTAAGGCAATATGGCCTGGGAGTGTTCCTGTATTGCATCTGTCGGGAGTATATTCAAGAAAGTGACACTTTGTTCATTGTGTAAAAACTATATTCATAGGAAATTACATTTTGTTACACTCACTCTACCACTAAGCTCCACTTGCTTCCAGCCTTTCCATTTCTTACACGTGGATGACTATATCACAATACAGTACGCTATTTTCCTATTGCAACAAGACTAATCTGCATTCAGTATCATTTAACATAACCATGTGTAACTGTGTTCAATATAAATGTTTCTATATTTTATAATATCCAGTTATCGACACATTTCTTCCCATGGATTGGCAGTATTGCTCTAGATGTGCCATTGAACGCCTACAAATAAACAAGTGTGCACTGTTGATTTAATTGTAAATTAATAGTCCTTAAGACAAACGCGAGGGATGGTTAATGTGCCTGACAGCTGTGCCTGTAAGGCTGTTGTTGTAAGTGCAAATCTGCAGCGTCCCGCTGTGCCTATTGCTCGTCGCAGCGTGGCACGCTGCTGCTTTGCACCCAATATACCCACACACTTCACGCGCTTTGCCTCCCCTTCCGTCCTGCACAAGTTTTCTCTTGTCCCCTTTTTGGAACGCGAACACAAAATGCAGAATGGTGACGCAAGACTATGTGAGCTGAACGATCATAAACTCCCTTGCCTCACGACAAACACATCTCTACTTTAACCTTCACACCCTGCTGTATTTAAAAGGTTATTACTTATTAATGATGAGTAGCATGATCACAGCTGCTTGGTTTTACGTCTCAGAAAAACAGACTCTGTCTACTTGACAGACCTGTTCTCCACCTGAAGACGGCTGCTTGCGTTGTGGCCGAAACGTCGTGAGAATTCTTTTATTATGTTTTATTTTTATTATTTTCCTTCTACGTGACTTTACCGAAAGAACCAAGAAGATGAATCCCTGCAGTCACGAAAGCTTTAAATCGAAACGTAACGACGTTGTCGTGTGAAATTATCCGTGCATTTGTTTAACCACGGAAGCCAAGTAGAAGATTATAGCAGTTGTGTGACATTAACAGTGGAAAGGTGTAGAGTGCTTAAAAGTGGTCCACACTGCGAATGAAGCAATCTTGAGAAGCTTGTTGAGATGAACTGCCTCTTAGTCCAGCGTGGGCTGCCTATGGCGGGTGATCTCCACCTCGGTGTACATCAGCTCCTGCAACAAGCACAGTCAGCACCGTGGACTCATCATCCTGCTGGGCCACGCTGGTTTGACTTCATAATTCACACTTAAAAGACTCTGTTACAATCACGAACAGCACAACATCACGCCCATGCTACAGATATCTGCAGGTAGCCCTGGAGTTTTAGTCAACATAATTAGTCTCTGTTATTCTCCATTAGAGTGGTAGATAAATGCCACTGATAGCTTCAGCAATTATGGAGACGCGTCGATTGTCTGCCATGGATGGACGGTGGGGTTGTGGATTAGCGAACGTTTGGTTAAGAGAAATTATCTCAATTATGCAGTACCGTTGGGCTGCAACATCCGTGGGACGTGGTCCACGTGAATGTTGTGACTTGTGCAGCCGTAGGCACGGTCTATGGTCAATTTGGCTGCCAACAGTGTAGGTATGCCAGGGCCGTATTATCCAATAGGCACAGTGGGCACTGTACCTTCGAAAACTAAAGGGCCTACGGAAAAATGTGACCATGTTTTGTTGTTGTTTGTATGATTAAATATGTAACAAAGATATCTTCTTGAATAAATATATTTACATAGCAAGGATAGGCACAGTGTATATACAAAGAGGCGGAGTCATATCAATGTTTTTTCCATAAGGTGAGAGAAATTAACACCGGAGATGAACTTTTCGAGATTTTTTCATTGCACAATTAGCAATGACATCTTGAAATGGTGTTTTTTCGCACAATCAAGCGAGTAACGGCAGCTGTAGTAGTAACATGGGACAGCGCCAGTACCAACTGTAGAGAGTTGTCATTGAAGGCCTACGAAACAGAAGTGCCTAGGCCCTACAAGAACCTTAATCCGACCCTGAGGTATGCAACCTACCCATGTGGATAGTAGATTTAACTGGACTGCAACTATAAATACCTTTGGCACCCGCCCCGGTCTAAACAACATAAACGTCATGTTATAGAGACTGAAGTGCCCCTGTACTACATTAGTTGTGTATGGAAATTCTTAAAATGAAGTAAAAGTCGCATATTACGTCAACGGGTCTCGACAATCAAATAAGGGCTGGAGCAGCGTTAATCTCATCAGCACGGTTTGGCTACATGCGTTGCAATAGAAGTTCAACATACGTACATACATGCAATCTCCATAAGTGGCTTTGAGGTTTACGTAATTTCCACATCTCCGTGGTGAGGAATGCTCTCTCCAAAGTACAATCAGTGGACATTTGACCGGGATTTGAACTTGCAAGCCACCATGCTGGATGTTGAAATGTGAATATAGTACCGGCATGGATGAAAACGATGGACATGGGGGTTCACTGATCTCCCCATCTCCACTCGTGATCAGATCAGACGGTGACTCGGTATAAGATGCTGGCCATATTATAGCGACTGTACTATCACAAGACAAAAATGAGCATTAGCGTCATTGTGCAAAATATAGGCAATAAATATAGCAGATCATATATCGCCTTCACCTATCTGTTGATTCGCATGTTGTGCCCATGGCTGCTGAAATGATGCACTCCCACAAGGCCTTGCGGTTGACGGGACAGTTGAAGAAATACTTAAAATGTTCATGTAGAGGGATAGATATACCGAGTATGCTTATTTTTTTAGGTATTGATCTTGATTTGAAGCTTTCGTGACTGCAGGAATCCATACTCTTTGGTTCTTTCGGTAAAGTCACGTAGGTATGAAATAAAATAAATCATGACGTTTTGGGCGCAACACAAGCGTCCGTCATCAGGTGAGAAAGCATGGTCTGCTGCTGAGGCAGACTGTTTTAAAAGGTTTGAAATGGGTGCTGCCCAAGAGTCATAAAGAAGTGGCCGGGGCTAGTGATGTTAATGTGAGAAATGTATTTTATACCTACGTGACTTTGCCGAAAGAACCAAAGAGTATATCGGTATTATCACAGTAGTTTTTTATGATCCCTGATATCACAATAATTGCAGTCTCTTTGTATTGGCTGAGATATGGGATTTGTGTCTCGAGCAGAAATATGTAACTTTGATGACCTGTAATGTACACACAGTCTTAGATCACATAGGATCATGTCTTTATCCAAACGTTACAAATAACTATATTGTATTCTTCTCACGGTATCCCGACACCTATTAGATGTCCCGGTGTCCAATAAAACACAACTCACACTGTCATCGAGACGTCATTAATTTTATTATAACTATTTACGATAACTTTTACTTTTGTCATGGGACCTTTTTTTTGCCAGTTTCATAGTTTGAAAAATTAGAATAGGTTTTGCCCTTTCTGGCAATAAAACGGGTCTTGTTACGATGTTCAAACACCAAATAGAAACCTTTCGCAATGAATCAAGTCTGCGTTAACCCACACGCACTTGTGGTGAACATGCAAGCAAACATGCTCTGATAAAATATGGCATTGTCATTGAAACTGATTGTCACGCTATTTTAGAGAACGGACGATATCATCATCGCGGACTACATATTTCGCGAGCTTTCCATAGCATCGGCAAACTGCGGCTAACCCAGCGGACATTCCGCAATCGGAAAAAGCAGAGCCGTGACGCATTTGAGGGCACACTGCTGTGCCCACGCACCGCGTGCTGGCATACCTGGGTGGCCTGAAATTTCAAAAACCTTGCTTGCACACACACCAGTGTGTGTGATTTTAAATGAGATATTTCAACGACAAAAAAAGTGATACAGTCGTGTTCAGCGTACATTACCAAATTGGAATATTACCTTCTAAATACCCCATGCACCCATTAGCAAGCGTTATTCAACTGTCAAAACGTACAAAGACAAACATCCCCCGTATAGCCTTTGCCAGACTGTTGGGGCAAGTGCTATTGGCAAAAACCTATGAAGGCCGGCACTTTATACAAGTGGTGGCCAGCACCACGCCCTGCCGCTTTGTCTCTCCAGTGATGATGTTTACACAACGCACTAGGTACTTATTTAAGTCTGAGTCGACCTAGGGGAGGCCCAGGACCGATTCAGATAATCGTCACTGGTGTTGGTGGCCGTGAGAGGAATCGAACTCGGATCGCCAGATTCATAACGCAGCTTGCTAACCACTACACTCCTACTCCTCATATGTACATGCAACAGGCCTTTTCTTAATTCACTGCGGGGTGTATGTATTTTGAACTTCTTTCACACCGTACATAGCCAACCCTGCTAATTGCAGGACAACAAACTAAACACATGAAGCAATTCTAAAGATTCGTCTTCCATGTGCATGTTCCACGTTATAACGGTACGCGTTCCACGTTCTTACTGTGTGCGTTCCGCGTTTTCACGCCGCGTTCCATATTGTGCGAAAAGTGTTCCCTTATGGTATAACCGCGTTACAGGAAAACCGCGTTGTGTGAACACGCATTAAGCGAGGACTTACCAGATTGCAGAGGGAATATTGCATACGACAAGACACTTTCAAATGTGACGTACTGGGAATCAAATTGAAGTCTGATTATATTTACCTCCTCATATGTCTCCGTTTGTAAGGCGTCATTTGCTAAATCAAAATGAAACGTGCAATGCAGCAACATGTTAATAAATTAAGCTTCCACGCATATCCATGAAATAGTCTAAACAAGTCGAACGTTGTTGAGTACACACGAAACACCGAAGTTGATGCATGTTAAGTTAGCCCAAGCCTGTGCATACATTGATGAAATTGAGTTCCCATTATGGCAATGTAATGGCAATGTTTTTCACACAATCCCTTAATTATTCAAGTATCCCGTGGATTTTTATTTGAGTAATTGATTGATTTTATTGGTTTACGCGGGGGTAAAAAAGGAATCACCCTCATGCTGTTTTACAAGTCACACGAGACAACAAAACTGTATCCAAAAAGAAACAAAAACATCTCACAATGCCAGCACAGTAATGGCGTTTATGAAATTACGTCTCTTTAGATGTTTGCCTGTGCATAGTAATACTTGTAAAATATACGTATACAAATACCCGTCATAATATACAACTTTTGCGTTGAATTTCAAGCTAATCAATCGCACAGAGCCATCCGTTGGATTTCGTGTGGATTTGCCCTTTAGAGCTCATTGATACGAATATATTCAGTTCGCGTAAAATTCTTCAGCATTCTACTTTATAACGTGCGAACCACTCTGGCAAAATCCATACAACAATAACCAGGTTGAAGCAGATATCCAATTTTTGGTTGTGAACAAACTTGCCCATTCGGTATGGTGATAAGATAACAATAACGCGTGCATCTTCTTGTTACAAACACAATTTTGATACGGTGTCTATACAGGCGTCTCTTGCATAACACGCCACGTGCCTTCCTGAAAAACAGCACGTGAGTCAAATTCGCGCTATTTTCCTGTAGGCATACTTATTGCAAGCGGCGGGGGGGTATTGCCGAAGATAATTTCAGCATAATTAAATTTCCTTTTTTTGCCCTGGATTTACAAAATACGTATAAATGCAATACTTATGAATAATATTAACATTGCAAAAAATACTTCGTGAGGAGTTTAGTAAAAATATAAATTACATATTAAACAAATTGCTACTGGCAAAGATTACTTAATGAGGAGCAACTTTAGGGCTTCTTGAACGTTTCCATGGGTCTGCTGCTACTCAGGTTCACGGGCTGGGCGCTGCAACCAACATATTGAGATTTTATTTTATTAACCTGCGAAATTTTGTTTTACTTAAAATTTTTTATCATTGACAATTATCTTTACATTTTGAAAGAAATCGATATTACAACTTTTTAAAAAAAATTTAGCGCGCAACTTTGAAACGCGCAGCGTAAGTGCGAAGTATGTCCCTCAAGAATCGATTGGGTAACTGCGTATTCGCGCTGTGGGGGGAAGGCGTTACGCGAGGGACGCCTGTATCATCTGAATTAACGAAAATGTTTGTCGGTCCATAATAGAGGTCTTTTGGGTTAGATCGCGTAAATATATAAATGTTTCGTTAAAACCTGCCACCACCCGACACAGCCAACTAGCAAGGGTTGTCACGTAAACAGAACGTGGCCAATTCGTCACTAGTACAGCACACCGGTGGGTTGGAGAGCCAAGCCACAGCATTTACAATGACGAATGTATGATATTGGTCACGAAAGTCTACGTGTTAAAATGTTTGTTGGTGCTGACCTGGATTGTCGTACTTTATAGGTGCATATATTATTTGACTGGGGCTTCTTTCTTCCTCTATTGCATGTGCAACTGTAGTGTACAACCGATTACAATACAACAACACCAACATGATTTACGTTTGTAAAAAGTTAACTAATAACGTACAGTGAAACCTCATTATATTTGTTTCCACTTTATGTTTTCCCGTCTCTCTATCCCCACATTATTATTACTCCACCCAATGGCACGATATCTATTCCTTGAATTTACCTACATCTACCATGAAATGTGGCTCTTCTGAAAATCAAACATTCCTGTTGATCAAGTTTCCATTGCTTTCTTGTTTTTTTTCGTATTCTGTAAACGACGTTGTGGCTGTATACATCTGAAGGGTTCTGACAACAAAGACCGCACACATTTGAATGAGCCACATCAACTTAACGGTGCATAATCTTTGGTTCTTTCGGTAAAGTCACGTAGATAGAAAATGATTAATGGTGAAGACGGTCGCTTGTGTTGTGATCGAAACGTCGTGATCTATTAATAATTTTAATAATTTTCTACCCACGAGACTTTGCCGAAAGAACCAAAGAGTATGGATTCCTGCAGTCACGAAAGCTTCAAATCAAGATTTAACGGTGCATATCGAGATATTTTATCAGTAACTGACAAGCCATCTGGAGGTATTAATATCGAACCTTGCGCATACTAAGGGTGAAACGTATGAATTATGAACATTCATATCGTAGTAAACGCCTCGTATTTCCCATCCGCGTCATCACAAACCTTTTAACAGTAGGGGGAAATTCATCCACAGTATTTCTCAATAGTCACAGAACATTAAGACGTTATACCAATAAGAACCCAAACTGTGGCGGTTATAATGTGGCTACGACTGAGTCACAGCATTGACTTCTCCGTGCGGTGTTTCTGGGGAACTGTGGTCTGCGAATGTGCAAGGCTGTCTGTCTCGGGCTGTGAGTATATAGTGTGTTTGTGATATGGCAATTTTACAGTGGCTGAAACCATGTACAAACGCGTACACAAGCGGTTAGCGTGCTGCCAATTACCAACCTGAGTTTGTTTCCCACTCACAGCCACCAACACCAGTGGTGGTAATCTGCACCAGTTCTGGGCCTCTCCTATGTCGACTCAGCCTCATACGAGTACAGAGCGCGATGTGTAAGAAGGAAACAAAACGTGTGGTGATGGCCGCCCTCCGTCTAGTGTGCCGTGCCGGCCTTCATAGGTGCTCGCTAACAGCATTTGCCTTGAAGGTCTGCAACATAAGGCTTCACGAACAGTTATTGCTATGGATTCTGCTGGTGGTGGTGCGCATGTCATTGCTGGTGCTGCTGCTGCAACACACAAGCTGCCTGTTATACAGCAAGCAGAAATCTGAGCATTACCCCTGCACTCACTGGTGACATTTACCATCCAATTAGATGATTCTCACGGCGAATTGGCTGTTTGATGTTTGTGGTCTACGAACACCGGGTGGAATATAGGGCGACTTAAGCAACGAACGGTGGTGAGGTCACAAATGCGGTCACACGCGAATAAAGTTGAATTCCGTCAATGGATGTAAACACATCTTATTTTATTTTATATTGATAGAGCGACTTAGCTCAAGGCGCTTTGCATGGGGTTTAAAAGCAGTAACAAAACTATAGTGATTTAGAATGCAAGGTCGTGCAAGGGCCGTAGAATGAGCGATCGCGATAGGGGGCACGTGGGGGTCACGAAAGGGCTACAGGGAAGGGAGGGGATGGAGGGTAGGGGTGGATGGCAGGGAAGAGGAAGGGAACGGGCAGTGTAGAAGAGGTGAAGCTTTACGAGAGGAACGGACGGAGGTTAAGGAGGGGGACTGCTCAACGTACAGAGGAGGGTGCTTCGAGTGGAGGGGTTGCAAGGAGGGAGAAAGATCGAAAACACACGGACGGAGAGAGACGGAGAAATCTGTTACTCTCGATGGTATCCATGTTCATGTCGTAGGTAGGAAACAGGACGGGAAATTCCAATCGACTGCTTACCTGATGGCCTTGAGTATCGTACACACAAAACAATGGTGACGCTCACGGCAGCTAGAATTATAACACCCACGGGCACTGAGATAGCCACTCGGCATTGGAGCGAGGGGCAAAATGTAGAATCCGCCTGAGGAGTCATGTTTGTAATTGAGGCACTTGCGTTTGTTTCACGCCAGTCACCTATGTAATCTGAAAAAGTAAATGAAAGAATATTGAACAATTTTGATTTAAAGCTTTCGTGACTGCAGTGATTCATATTCTTGGTTCTTTCGGTAAAGTCACGTGGAAGGGAAACAATAAAATAAAATAAAAATATATATAACAATACAATTCTCACTTATTGTTTTATATTTTTTATTTTATTGTTTCCCTTCTACGTGACTTTACCGAAAGAACCAATAATATATATTGAACAACATTATCTATACTCCACCTATGGCCAAGTGTAATTTTGCTGTCTTGCGTGTAAATTGAGTTCTAGTCGTACTTTATACTTTACTTACATTGACTGGTTGATGACTCTTCCGGAGGAACTTTGGGACGAACTGAAACAAAAGGAAATGGACACTCTGTAATAACTCTGTTATGTCTTTATACAATTGCGCTACGTGAAATTATAATCCCTTGTGATGCATTATCTAACTACTAGGCTGAATGTAAACATGTGAGAGTGTGTGTTATTGACAGCCTAGCTTTGATTAATTTTCAAATGCTGTTTTTTGACTGACATATCACATAAGCAAACTATGCTCGTGAAAGATGTCAGAATATGTAACATCCACTTAACAGATACAGTAAACGTATTTGACAACAATTGCAGTCCATTGACAGTATATCTTTATATAGTTTTCAATTTCAATTATCAAAGTGCAATCCGGTATTACTTAACACGTATTCTCAATATCCATATTCTGTTTATTCAAATGATGACTTTTCTAATGTGGAGAGCAAGCGTGAACTATATAAAGCCGTCTGATTATCACTTTGGGGCGATGTTAAACATTCCCTTCTGCTCTCAAGTTGAAGATGTTATCATTTTAGTTAGTTGGATACCACTCGTCAAAAAGCGTGTCCTAAAGTTATATCCTCCACTACTTTTCCGATATTTAGCTCAATGGATTTTCTAAGATAGTCCTGCTCCTTGAAACCTTGGAAACAATCCATACACGTTTTCGCACGTATTATTATATGTACGCGTTAATGAGTGATGTTCAAATGTTAATGCCGAAATTGACTTACGGCATTGGCCTTGGAAATGACGTTAGACAATAGTTTGGATAACTCCTTAACCACATTTCAATTGCAGAATCTCAGTGGCATGCGCAGCTACTGTACGAGATGATCAGGCTGTATATCATGCAAGAGGGAGGGTGCGATGGCCATGGAGGTGCACAGATAGAAAGATAATCTTTAAAACAACTCTTACCCGTCAGGTTAACCGTTGCAAGGTGCATAGCAGCGTTTCCCCATGCTTCACAGGAAAACACCCCTGAATCGTTCAGCTGCAGATTTTTAATATTTAGGGAAAAAAATCCTCCTTCAAAATCAGCGTCTGAAATGTTAACCCTGTCGTGGAACTGTGATGTTTTTTCTGGTTTTCGAATTATTTTAGTAGAAAACTGTTCAATGACAAGCTGTTTAATATTAAGCTGAGGCAAGAATTTCTCCAATGAACTCCACCAGTACCATGAGACTGCTCTATGTGATTGTTGGTTTTCTGGCGCAAACCAAAAATTATCAGAGGCCTTGCATATCAACTTGATACTTTCTCCTTCTCTGCCATCTGCATGCCTGGGTGTTAAGTATTTAGGTGTAGGAGATGCACTAATTAGACGTGAACCTGAAATACAACAGTGCAATTAAATTATGGCAAATTCATCTGAGCATATTCAGCCACTTTTGTACGCATTTATATATACACAAAGTATCATATATTTCCTATATTGGTATAGCTGTTCCGTTTTTTGTAAATGGATTGTATTATTCATGTATATTGTATACATTGGTTTGTGAGAGCTTGGATGAATGCATCAATTTCCTCCGAGTTAAATGCTTTTTCCATGGTTTCCAAAGGCTACGTGTAAATTGTGTTTGGAATTCACGAATGTTTCAGAATCTGACCGATAGTGGAAAGACATTTCCCAAAAGTGTCTCGTTCTTTGAGTTAGCTTTAGCATCTTTTTAAAAAGAAGAATTGTCGAAGTGTCATTCCACGATTGCAGTGTATCAATTGTGTGTAAACATTTGGTACAGTACAGGGTTAGTAATTTTGTTACAACAACTGGTTGCATGAATGTATGTTGAACTTCTTTCGCACCATACGTAGCCAACCGCGCTAATCGGAGGTTGTTGTGCATCTTATGAGGTCTTCAATTATACCATACGATCCAGGTGCTTCCCTTTGATATGTAAAGTTATCTAAATATTTTGATACATCTTTCTGTCTTTCTTTGCCCTGAAGAAGGGCAAATACCTGAAACATCAACACATTATCGGTTTTGTTCAACTATAATACAGCAGTGATGACAATATAGTGTTGACGCGTTATTATTTGTAATACTATAGATATCAATTCTAGATTTGAAGTTTTCGTGACTGTAAGGATCCATACTCTTTGGTTCTTTCGGTAAAGTCAAGTAAGTGAAAATAAAATAAAATAAAAAACCCAAAGAGTATAGATATCAAATTTCGATTTAAAGCTTTCGTGACTGCAGGGATTCATCTTCTTGTTTCTTTCGGTAAAGTCACGTAGAAGGGAAGTAATAAAATAATAAAAATAAAACATAATAAAACAATTCTCACGACGTTTCGGCTACAACGCAAGCAGCCGTCTTCAGGTGAAGAATGAGACACTACCAAACTAGGAGCTTATATATAAGCTGCATTGGGGGTTGAAGAGCGCCTTAACAAAAAGAATGTGCATGTGAAGAGGGATTTAGCATATTCATGGAAAATGCGTAGGCGTTGGGCGGGGGGGTGTCAAAGTCATATTATGCCCATGCATTATGCAGGATCAGCAGCAACCAAGGGGGGTGCAGGGATTAGCAGTAACAAAGGAAAGGA